ATAAGTTATATATAAATAAATATTATATTTGAATATATAAATTATATTTAAAATTTATATAATATATATTTTTAAATATATAAATTATATTTATATTTATGATAAATAATTTATATTAGAAAAAAATATTTACTAGTAATTTATTTTAAAATATTAATATTTAATTTATAAATAATTATAACAGTAAATATTAAATTAGATAAAAAATTAAAAAAAATCCTTACAATTCCTTTTATTAATTTTTTTTTGAAATTTTCTCATTTAAAATAATAATTTATATTTAATATATAAGAATTGGTATGTAATTATGATTGAGTAAAAAATAAAAAACATAATACTAAATTTCATAATTATTTTGTGAAAATAATATTTATTATATTTTATGAAACTGTAATTATTTTTTAATATAATTACAGTTTGGTGTGTATTTTTTTAAATAATTTTATTTTTAAATTTTTAAATAATAAAAAATAATATTAAAAATTATTTATTTTTATATAGATAAAATTTGAATTCAGTATTTTTAGATTTAAAAATTAAATACAAAATTAAATAATCTTTCGCATATTAATAATTTTTATTAAATAAAAATTATTAAGAAAAACTTTTATAAAATTAGTATTTTGATGGATGACCGTGAGTTTGACGTGACTTACTTCATTTCTTACGACTTACGAGGCTGACTGGCTGAGGAGCATTTGAGGATTATTTTCAGTCATTTGCCAGTGCGGTAAGTCCACATCTATAATTATTTCAGAGATAAAGACAAATTATTTTCGTATAATTATAGTATTTGTCCTCATAAACTTAAAGCAAATTAAGAATTGGTTCAATTTTTTTTCGTCTATAAACGAAATGTTTGTTTTTCGTCTCTTTGTTTAAGTCCTTTTCGGATAGTGTTTGTTTTGAGAGAGACATTTAAAGATAATCTCGTTTTGATTCATCATTGAATACATAAAAGACTTTTCCATCATTCTTGAGTGTTGAGTAATGTTCCGATAAAGAGAGAGAAAGTTAATTCTCATGGCTTCAACACAAAGGTGATGCTTTTTGAACATTTATTCTCTAGTCATCTATTTTAGTACATTGCATGATATTCTAACTTGTTTACTATCAGTTGTAGTATTTATACACCAGAATTCGTGCTCAAATATTCAACTGTTAGTGCATATTATAAAGCAATTTAGTCTAAGGATTGAACTTTATAATTTGGTTTCAGAATTAAAAAAGAAGTGTGGATCTCACTACTTGAAGAAGACACTAACCTTTCATTAATACGGCTTTAACATTTCCCACACTATTGAAAGAGATTAAAAAAATTGATTGAAATCAATTTAATATTTATAGAATTAATAAGTGACTTGTTCTTTCTATTAAATAATTTTTTATTAAACAATTTTCATGGATTTTTAATCACAAAGATTAGATTATTATTATTAATTATTTCAAGTGACATTAATAAAATCTTATTTCTCTCGTTATTTATAGCTCTCGATGTTTCATAAACAATATCTTTTCCGGGGTTTAAAGTTAAAAGATTAGTCAAATTTGTTATTGACAGCATATAATAATTTCTAATCTTTTTCAGTAATTATTATATCACATAATTTCTTAATTATATATTTCAAACACAATATTAGCTCATAATTCATAATCTCCAAAATAATAAACTCTAATTCAACAATTATATTTGGTTTATCTCAAATTAATTTTATTACAACAAAGTGTAATGATATCATTAGTAAATTTTGTCTCATATAAAGATAAGACTCAATTAATCATCATTGTATTTTCTAATACAATAAAAAAGAAAAATTCTACATGTTTCGAAATATGTTTCGAAACATATTCCAAAACTTTAAAAAAATAATTTAAATTATAAAATATTAAATTAAATAATTATTTTATATTAAATTTATTTAAAAATATGAATATTTTATACATTCGGACCTAATTCGGAACTTTTTTTCGGTCGATGAAGCAATGCTCAATGAAAAATCTTCAGTAAATACCATAATTTATGATATTTCTCTAAACCTATATATAAGCAAATAAAACTAATTTCACACATATTGGAAAAATTCATTAATATACATTTATTTTTCACAATTTTACATAAAATATACATCACTTTTTTAAAAATAATTTTAACCACATTAATGATAAATAGTGTTCCCATTTATTACCATAGAAGTATTTTTGAATTAAGTGTATTATATAAAGTTGAGTTTAAAAAAAAGAACAATATATTCTACCAAAAACAGCTAAGACAGTCATATATGCATTTATGTTACTGATCAACCTCAAACACGGATAACTTTAAATTGGACTCATTAACAAAACAAATGTCATCTTAAAAGGGAAAAAAGGAGAAGAATATTTCTCCAACGTCCACGAAAATGTAACCACTAACAGCATCTTAAACTCGCGATCAATTAATAATTAATAATTAATAATGTGCCACCACGTACCTATTCATCTATGGTTTTCACATTAGATAATCAATAAAGGATTGATATATTTGCATAATGCTTACTATAAAGGAAAGGACATAATTAAACTATATTAATTATCTACAACTGGCGGGAGATAAGAAGCATTATATTACATAATACATACTCTATTTATTCAATTAACATGCAAGTAAAACCGACAAATATAGTTGATTAGTACTCCATCTGTTCTTTTTTTTTTTTCATAGCAGTTCTGTGAGAATTTGTTATTTTTTTTTCATTGTCATTTTACTAAAATAAATGATTTATTAATTTTTTTTCTCCATTTTCACCATTGATAATTAATACTCCCACCGTTTTTTTTTATAGTCGTTTTGTCATAATTTGTTATTTTTTTTATTGTCATTTTACTAAAACCAATGACTTATTAATTTTTTTTCTCCATTTTTATCCTTGATAATTAATACATGTTTGCTGAACAATGTGTGTATTTATTTTTAATGTCTACTTATTTTTTCTCTAACTACCCATATAAAGTTAATGTGCATTTATAAGAGCAATATGTTCCCAACAAAATACTATAAAAAAACAAAAAATGGGACAGGTATAATTAAATACAGTAGGTTACAGTTCACATGTAATCAATGCATTAATAATTAATAGAGTAGATTGTAGTTCAACAGTCTCAAAAATGCAAAAAAAAAAAAAAAAGGTAAAATAGGAAAGTAAGTAATAAATATTTTTAAAAACTAAAATATCAATGATTTTCTTAAGTCCCGTATAAAACTTTAAACAACTATAAAAATATAAATAAAAAAAAAGAGGGAGTAATTATCATAAGGAAAAGTCGTGAGAGGTATATTAATGTTTTGCTTCAAAATGGATGTTAATGGTTTTAGACAGACTAGGGGTATGCGTATACGAGTGAGGTGGTAACTGGAAAATGGTGGAAATAGGATATGGAGTAATGGAACTGATGACCCTACCTACCAAGTTATTATGACTTTTTCTCTTGTCTTGTTTTGCCAATAAGATTATTCATGGGATATTGAATGGTGTCTAAAGTTGGAAACATAATACATGAACCATCGAGACGGTCAACAATCCCCATAAGTGCACATGGGACTAACGTGAAGTTCATTCATCGGTGATTAAATCAAAGTCGCATTGTCATCAAATGCATTTTTTAAAAATAAAAATTTAATTCAGTTGATCATAAGATCACGAATGGCCTATAAGTTCAAATCTCACATTTTAATATGAAATTAAAACTTATAATAGTGATTATTAATGAATTTATTGAGTCGCTCAATATTAAAAATGACAATGAATCGGGATACGTATGCGTTTTAGTATTTTCGTTCTTGTATCATATATTCATTCTTGTTCCTATACTTGTTGGATATGAAATTTGCATCCTCATTCTCATTATTGTCAGACATTGGATATATCGGTATTTGTTCAAAAATTAATTAAATATTTTTTTGTAAAAAAAAATATAAAAAAATAATTTTTAAATAGAATAATAATTATAAAATTATATTAATTAAGTTTTACTTGAAATAAATTTAAAAGAGAGTAATTATGTAAATGTCAAGTAAATTATTAAAAAAAATTAAGTTTCTAAAAATTTTAAGCGGATACGGGTATAAGTATATGTACATGGCTTATATGTATATACCCATCATCGTACCCATACTCGATTCGATAAATCGGGTATAATTCGTGCCTATACTTGTATTCGGTCAAACTGGATATTTCCTATTAAAGTCGAGTCAAGTTCAGACATTATCCATAGATATAAGTTTACTTGCCACCCTTACTCATTATCAAGTTGCGGAAAGGGGAAGAATTCAATAACTATTACTTTCTTGTCTTATAAGTTAGTTTTGTAAGATAATGATTATTTTTCACTTATATATACTAATTTGACCTTATTACTGATTAATGTGAAATTTCAAACAAACTTTTAGAATCAAAGGACGCTTATAAAGATATTTATAGATTACTCACTAACAAATTCCTCATATCGACAATAAAAATGGAACTCACATCAACTTGAGATACGAGCACATTCTTTACAACATAAAACCATAAAAACCATGAAACAAATAAGAGGAAAGGTGAAGGGAACAAAGAAATTTTGTATTTGCTAGATAATTGTATTATTCTGCATGTTTTTCATTCATATATAAGGTAAATACATGAAAAATGATAGTCATACATCATGCTTATACATGCTATCAACAAAACATGTGTATTCACCATCATTAGGTATGTAGATTTGCCAAAAATCAAATACTTAGTAGGACATTATCTACTGAAGTAAGCAAACATAATTACAATAGAAATTTATCCATTAACATAAGTAACCATGACTAACTACAACAATAAAAACAAAGGAAAAGTTTTACTGATTTAACACTCTTTAAAACTTTTCTTAAGGGCTCCTAACTTGCTTCTTAGCTAGTTAAACTTAGTACTTGAAAGTGCCTTAATGAGTATATACTGCCAATTATTCCCTGGACCTGCAATACATCAACTAAACATCTTCATTCTTTTCAACTTCCCTTATAACATGAAATTTAACATTAATATGCTTGGTTCTCCCACGTTGAATTGGATTTTTAACAATTGAAATGATTGACTTGTTATCACACTCATTTGCACGTGACTTAAATCAGTTAAGACTTTCCTAACTCATATAGCTTGATTTGAGGTTGTTATTACAACTACATATTCAACCTCGATAGAATATTGAGCAACCACATCTTGCTTCTTAGAGTTCCTTGAAAATACTTCATTACTAAGTGAAAAAACATACCTTATTATGCTCTTAGAGTCATCAATAGATCCATCCCAATCACTATTATCAAAACCTTCAACATTTTCATCACTTTTGTTGTACCAAATGCCAAAATCAACAGTACCTTTCAATTACCTCAACATTCTTTTGCCTACACCAAAGTGTGTTAAGCTTGGTGAATGCATGAATCTTGATTTGTTTTTCATTCATATACAAGACAAATACTTGAAAAATAACAGTCATACATCATGTACATACATGTTGTCAATAAAACACATGTAACCACCATCATTAGGTGTGTATATTTGTCAAAAATCAAATACTTAACAAGATATAACCCACTCAAGAAAGTAAACATAATTACAACAAAACTTTACCTACTAACACAAACAATGATAATTAATTACAATTGTCAAAACAAAGGAAAGGCTTTATTGGTTTAACACAAACTAAACCAACATTTTAACTTATTACTAGTTAATGCGGAATCTGCAATAGACCTTCAAGATCAAAGAGTACTTACAAATATACTTATAAATTACTCACTAACAACATCTTCACATCGACAACGAAAATTAAACTTACGACAATGTGAGATATGAGTTTACTCGTTACAAATTGAGCCTACTTTTGTTAATTGCTATTCACCTTCTTGGTTTTCCAAATAGTAAATGTTTTCTTCATACTTGTTCAAAATAAAGAAATTTAAGGTGAAGTCCAATGTTCCAACAATGTTCATGTGATATCTCTCACAATAAATAGGTAGGTTTCTTAAGCATGTTATCAATCATTTTAATTTCTAAGCGATAAGGTTTCGTTAAAAAAGAATAGATTCATTTGGGTAATCTCTTTTGGTATGAAAAATAAAAGGAAATGAAAATGAAAATAATAAAAAGGAAAAGAGGCTTCTTCTGCAACGCACCATGTATTCTTCCAAGCCGCAGCATCAGCAGCTTTGGGCCGTCATTAGCTTTAAGGCCTAAAACTCGGATAGTTTTTCAACTTCTCCTCTGTTGAGTCCTGACCATTGGATACTGGTCTCAGCCCGGAATATTTAAAACAAATCTGATTTTCTATTGGGCTTAAATCACTCGTTATCAATGTAGGCCTAATCATTTGTTTCTAGATAACTGATAGAAAAGTGTAACCAAGCTTAGTCTTTTTAATAATGGTAAATCAATGAAAATTATAATTAGCATTAATACACCCCTAAAAATAAGCTTTAATTGTTGTAGCATTTAAAAAATAATAGTTTAAAAGGTAAAAAAAAATGAAAAGCTTTTGTTAATAATTAAGGAGTGAAAATATATAACTTAACAATAGAGTTAGTAGGTTCGTTTTTTTAACCTGTTTCTTAAAAAAGCGTTTTTTTTAATAAAAATAAGCACATTTTGTTTTTTTACGTGTGTCTAATTTTTTTTTAAATAAACACTTTTCTGCTTTTTTTTAAGAAACAATTTTTATTTTCTTCTTAAAGAGTTACTTTTGAAAAAAAAAACATTTGTTCATAAACACTTTTTTTTTTTTAATTTAAACAAATATATCCAATATTACATTTTTAAAAAGGATATTTAAAATTTTTTAAAAAAATAAATATTTTTTTTCTAAAAATCAAAATTAACTTATGTATACATTAATTTGGAGAAATTCTCTAATATTAACTACACAAAAGTATGTTTTTCAACTTTTGTATATATTGATTTCATTTTATAGAGAAATTATTTCTTTTATTTTTCTTTTTTCTTCTACAAATACTTATAGAGAAATTCATTAAAAAAAATGTCATCCCAGGTACACAAGCTTTCATCTTCTAGCCTAAGAGACAAATGGGGGCTAAAATACCAAGACAGTACACAATAAATTACCATTTTTTTGGTAGTGGTTCCTCGATCAAAAGAACAATATTGAAATGATGTCTAATGTTAACTCATGTTACTCCAACTGATAACCAAAAAGGAAAAATTATGTCAAATATATATACTCTCGAGTGTAAGAACCCAAAATGAATTTGATATCATTAGTCTGACTCAGCCATGCATATAGATAATGATCAATAATGCTTAATTTTATGATTCAGCATCAATTTTGCGTGCTACACCTCATACAAGTGGAGAACAATTGATAGTATTTTTGGCATCTTCTTCTTTCTTCTTGTTGTATTAAACACTACTAGTATATTATAAGATGTCAATCAACCAAATTTTGTCTCATATATTTAACTAAAAGAAACCCTCCTTATTGGTTCGGGTTTTTGTTCGAGGAAAGTGATTTTAAGGACGACACATGTTTGCTAACTAAATACGAAGAAAAAATGTCCCGTTTAATAATAATTGATTAATTGAGTCTTTTTCTTTTAATGAGCTTGAGAATTTGTTATAACATAAAAAATTACGCTCAAACATGCAAAGTTAGTTGGCTCTACAATTGATATATTCTATCCAGGAAATCTAGAAAAGGTCAACAAAAACAAAAACCTAGTATTTGGATAAGAACAACTAGATTTATTTATTCCAACATGGATAAGAATGAAGTCAGCAACCATAAGACAAAGTATGAATTATGTTTGAAAACAAGTATTTAACAACTGAAGTCTGAAGGAAAAGGAAATTAGATTATCAAAAGTATTCATTCCATTTTGCCTGCTAATTATATTTTTGTCATTACCAGTACGAGGATCAGCCGACGATATATATTTAATTTGGAATGAGCAATTCACTCTTATTGTACCTACACGGCTACGCAAAATATAAAATAATATTACATAGTACAAATACAATTTATCATATAATCTCTACAATTTATTTTCTATAAAATAAAGTGAAGAGGTTGATCATATGAATGTATCATTATTCTTATATATCTATGTATATATGGACACATATATCTATGTAACTATCTAATCATCTTCATTTGGATCAAATTTATAATGTTACTTGATTGTGAATGGTGTGGCACGTCCTGTATTTAACAAACTATCCATGTGGATAATAACATTCTCTTACTCCAATGATTATTAGCATCGCTCTATAAATCCCTTAAACATCATGAGATATATATACTCATGTCTCTATTACATTATTGTTCCTATATACTAAATCATATATTGACTTTGATGTTGAAGTATTTGTAAGTGGACAACATCTTTCTCCTCCAACCTTCACGTGTTGCTCCACCCTTCCGGCGATACTTATTCATCATGAACAGGCTCTATATAATTATAAAGTGATATTTTCATCATGACTCTATATCCACATAAAATCAAATCTTGGTCTTTAATTTACTAAGAAACCCCTATATCCAAGTCTTTAATCTAAAAATATTTATAAGGTTGAATGATATATGTGATTAAAAATATTTTAAAAAATATAGTGTATATTTTATATGAAATTATAAAAATTAAATGTATTTAATTAACCTTTTTAATTTATATGAAATTGACATTTTTTTTCCTTTCTTATATATAATTCCAAATGGGTTACCATATAATCAATTATATTCTCCCAGTTTCATTTTGTTTGAAATTTTACTGTTCTAATAATTCTAATTTGATTTGATTGTCATCATACAATATCAATGTAACATTAAATATTGTTCTTCTATTATATTTTCGGTCATTGTTAATGTATTTTTTAATTAATATAATGTTTTTCTTTTCCAATATTTATTTATTGATAGGAATTTAAAAAACTTAAAGATATATTAGAAAGTTACATAATTTTTTATAAAATAAAAAATATTAATTTTTTTTGTCAAAACTTCATCCATATACAAAATAGAATGAAGACAGTATTTTTTAACGTATATTTCAAGATCTGAATTACATTGCAGAAATAGGTGCCGTGTTCCGATCCCACTCATCTCCTTCACGTATCCAATTGTATAAAATACAATTTCTGCATTGTGTTGGACATATTATTATGTGCCGTATTCCAATCCTCAACGCCCTCTCCTTCACATCCTATTTTTAAAATCATACATCCACCAATCATGCTTAGTTTCAATAGCCGAATTTGACATCATTAAAATTCAGGTTAAAATGCATCTTGATCCCTTTCTTTATGACAAAATTAAAGTTGTTTTGGTTTTGTAATGACTCATCTAAACACTACATTTATTACGGTTCAATAACAACTAAATGGAAGTATAACCATCAAGCATCTATCTAGGATATCATGTAATAAATAGATAAATCTCATGTGAGTGATCATGTATGTAAGAAATAAAACAAATTGTTCTTAAACATACATACATCATATAAAAGAAGTAACTATTGTATACAAAATAAGCCTTGTCACTGGTCAAACATATATACAAGACCTAGTTACCTTAGAGTAGAAACATCCAAAAGAAAGTCACCTCCAACGTGACTCATCACTGACAGCACAACTCAGCCTGCTAATCCTATTTTACTCTCATACCAAGTATGATTATAATAGTCACAAACCACAAGGAAAAACACAGGATAAGCTTGTGATACAAAAGCAACATCATACAACAACATGCAATATAAACAACTTAAAAAGAATATCATTCATTACATTATATCATGTATTGTCATACAATTTAGGTAATTTCATCACAATTATCAAACAACCATTCATCTTTGTATAATATTACGTCCACATCATTCATCATATAGTAACTTATACACCTTTGCACCTTCAACATAACAATATTTACACACACACACATATAAGTAGAGCTAGTTATGTAACAAGCAACATGGACAACGATAAGTATCAACACATCACAAACAACTAAAGTAATCCAACCAGTGATACAACTTCAATTCACTCAACACATTCAACTGAATAGTGTAGGTATACAACTAATGTATCGTCATGTATATCAACCATGGAGATCTCCTAAAACTAAGGTGAACAATTTAACTGGTTTGACCCTACCGAATCATGATAGTTGGTATAATACCAGAAAACAGTAGTTGACTCTAAGGCCAAAAACAATGATTAATATTATGGCTAGAAACAACAACTAACACAAGGCTAGAAACAACATCTAGCATAAGGTAGATTGATTTCATAGGTTTTGCCTCTTAAACCAAGAAGTATGGTACTATGTCAAGGTGGAACAGTTTGTGTATGGACTTACCACGACATTAGTTTGCAACATTAAGTCCCTTATGAGATTAACCCACCAACTACCCTCCAAATACCACAACTCTCCAATACTCGGATAGAGACTAGGTCCTTGACTTCGTACTTTACTCGGTTAGTCACTTGTAATCAGTATAGTTTGACCTTTCTCCTATATTATGGTTACTTTATACACATATGTCTTGACCTTACCCACATACAAATACCATATAGAACTTGGAGGAGATAACTGAAAATAGTGTATCCATTCAAAAATTAACTTACTTATTGAAGGGTCAACACAACGTATATCCGCGCACAATGAGATATTAAAGTTTGAAAACATCTTTAACTCTCCTTTGGTTTCTATGTATCTAAACATAAACATGTATCACAACCACATGCTACGCTAACAACTTAACAACTTATCATCGTTCATTGTTACAACTTAAGCATCATTCATCTTACCTCTTAACCATACAATAACATAACATCATATTAGCTTACTTCATTATAACTTAATCATCTTTCATCATACATACCAACTTTTAACTTAACAATAATAATAAACACAATATTTCATACATAACAACTTTACAACTTTCAACTTTAACAATTATCAACATCCATCTTACAACATATATATCATCGCATTTTACATCAATGTACAATCCTCTGCATTGTCAACATATCATTCCATCACACATCTCCAGCAACTTCGCATCATACAATTCTTATAACTTACACATCAACCAACTTACAATATTCAACTTATAACACTTCATAGCATATGGAATATACCCATAGACCATCTTTCGCCTTACCAACATATATAATTAGCATATTACATTATCCATCATATAGTTCATATATCCTCATTTAACTACAAGACAACTTAAAATATCAAAGCAATGTAACAATTTAACATTAAGGTAGTTTTACAACTTTAAGCATACATTAACAAAAGCAATATTTTGAAAATCAACTGAAAACACCAAAACAACTTAACATCCTCATACATCATCATCCATATGGGCAATTCATCATATAATAACTTAAGACATATATTATCATAATCTAAAGAGAATTAACACATCATTTTCAACATGTAATCATCAACTAGCATACAATGACAATTTTTACATAACACAACATAATTGGAGTTTCACTAATCCAATCAAACTCATTTTTATCTCATAATGAAGCTAAAATGGTTATCTACAACTCTTATAAAGACTTCAAGTTCCAACTCCATCATATATACTAAAAATCACAAAAAAACCTAAGAGTTTACCTAAATGTTGACAACTTGACCTTTGCTCACTTAAAAGATCTTAATTGGAGTTTAAGATCTCTTTTTTAAGTGATTCCAAAAGCCATTGAAAAGGTAACATCCAACGATACAACTTTTATAAAGACAATAAAGTCTAATTCAAAAATAACTAAATCGCTCGACTATTTTAAAATTTCTCAACAAATTCCTTTTATAAATACTCCTAATTCTCATCTCCAATTCCGCTCAAGCCGTTTCCTTCCATAGGCACCCCCATTTCTCATTTCTGATTCTACTTAGTTGTTTCAAAATAGCTCAGCCATTCATGACAGAGACAATTTTTTTTTCAATTTTGGGGTTTTTGATCCTCTCTAATTCATCCCAAGTTCAACTACAAGCTCTAAACTCAAATTTAAACCATTAAAACAATTCTAAACAACATATTTAACATTCAAACCAATTCAAATGCAACATGCATCTCCTCCAGAACAAGAGGTCAACAATTTTGGGTTTTGGGTTCACCTTTCTTGAAAACCCTAACTTTACAACTTCAACATGCAACAACAAGAATAAAACTAGCTTTCCTTACCTCATTGACGCTCTAGAACAAAAAGAGAGAAGGAGAAGATAGCAAGGTCCATATGACTTTAAGGATGGATCTCAACTCCACCAACCTTGATCCCTTAGTTAGCCCATTAGTTAAACCACATGGAAAAAAAAAGGAAGGGAGGTTTTAGGATGAGAGGAGAAAAGCTTTGTCTGCTCCCTCTCAAACTTAAAAAAGAATGGAGGAAAAAAGAAGGAACATTCCCCTTCCCCTTCTTAAGAAAGCTCAACAAGACCCTTCCCTTAATGTTGAATCAATTCATTATCAACTCTCTATTGTACCACACGACTCAAATGAAACATGCTAAACATGAGTATTATAGGTTTTATTTTTTTTTTAAAAAATATACTTTAATTTTTAAATTTGAGTTAATATTATTCTTTTAAAATTTTAATTTTTTAATTTATATTTTTATGTAAGTTTAAATATATTTTTTTCTTGATTCAAGATATAAAATTTATCTCATCATATTCACCTACATAAAATTTATGAAATCAAACTAATAGGTAAAAAAAACATAAACATGATAAAAATAACATGAAAAGTAAATTCAAAGAGCAACTAAAAAATTAAGAAAATCTAATTTCATATTCATTTTCAATTACTTGTGAAATTCACCTTTTACACAAATTAATTTCACTATTTTTAGGACCTTTATTAGTTTCACATATTATAATATTCATATAAATAAATTTAATAAGATAAGTTTCACATATTATATTACTTAAAAAAGTTCAAAATTATACCCTAAAATAAAAAAAATTATCATTGTTTTGTCTTAAAAAATGAAAAATTCTTTAAAATATAAAAACTCAAAATAAATTCTTATAATAATATATTGGATTGGATTGAGAAACTCGACCACAACAACTTACGTATCTTATTCTCTTTTGATTTGCTAAAAGATGGGTTAATGATGGGCTGGAGTGGCCAACCCAATTGGGTCTTTTAATTTTTATATTATTGATTTATACATTTTTTTTTATATTTATAAATAAACATGCTAGTAATAAGATATCTCTCATTTAATAACTTAACTTCTTCTAGGCACACATAAATAAAGTTACATTGAAAAAAGAGTTACTACATTTAAAGGTGTAATATATTCAAATAAGAATTACCATTTTAGTATAAAAAATAATATTCAGTTTGTTTGATGATTTTTTTTATAAACACTCTTATGAGAAAAAAAAAGTAAAATATATTTTTTAGAAGTTAAAATTAATTTATGCATAAGTTAATTATAATCTTTTATACTAGTTTCTCAAAAAAATTATTTTTAATTTATGTATAAGTTTAAATTAATTTATAAAAAAATTTATTTTATTTTTTCTTCATATTATCTCACCTCTTATAAGTGATTATAAAAAAGTTTATTCAACTATACCTTAAATAAACAACCAATTTTGTCTCTATAAGTACCGGTCTCTATAAGTATAAAAAAAGTTAAATAAATTCATAAACTAATTCCTTAGACTAAATTACATACCGTCATTTTATTCCTAAATCTATATTGATATCACTTCAATCACACTTTTTTTTTAAACTTAAATAATTGTTAATTTGTATTTTTGAGGATTGATTTGGGCCCCTTTGATTTACACATTAATACGATAGCACTTTTCTATTTCAGGAAGAAAAAAAAATCTGTTTACTCAATAAAATTTTAAAAAAGATAGTTAGGGTCACTCAAAAGTTATGCTTCTACCAAGAAAGTATTAGAAGCCCTAAACACGCCTATTCGAGGATTGGTCGAAAAATGTAAGAGAGAGTTGATGGAGGGTTTTTGAGCAGTTAAGCAGTTAGTTACTAAAAAATTGGTCGAAGAAATAAAGAACGTGGAGGGAACAGTTATGAGAGGTTAGATGTAATCCACGAAATCAGCATAGTGGTCAGCGATTACGCACCTACGACGTATTTGCACAGAATTAACCGCTCTCGATTAAATCTATAAATATGGGAACCATACCTCCTCACAAGAGTCGAAAATTTCATACTTGCACTTTTGTAAGCACTTTCTGCCTGCGCATATGGCTTCCATGCATGGGATTGCTATTGGGCATGGTTTCTTGGCCACATTTTGCTTTCTTTCCGTAGAATTGGTGTAGTTTAGTTTAATTCCGTAATTCGTAGTTTGTTGTTCTTAAGATCATCATTTTGTAACTGGACAATTATGTGAATTGGATCATGATCTGTATTGCTAATATATATATCATTCACTCCATTCATTTAAATGTTTATATGGGCGAAAATTATTATTTTATAGTTGTATATGAAACTGTGGAAACTAATGCTTATTAGTTGCTTTGTCTCATCTATTGTCGTTCCTAAAAAAGTCTAATCGTAAAATACTTAAATTGAAACGAGTGTGTGCTAGTTCAAATAAAAAGAACTCATAAACCAATTTCACCACAAACAGATATATTATGAATTACCTATTGAAATCTTCCTTAACTAATTATATTGTAAAAAACTTTTTCTCATATTATATTTTAATTTAAGTTTTTTTAATTTTTAATACTAAATATATTATATACTATTTCTAATATATTATATAAAAAAACTATACATGAACAATGTGTAAAATAGTTTTACACAATTATTTAATTATAAATAATTATTTATATTAATTTTTTTGACTTTTACAAATTTATCTTTAAAATCATGTAAATAATGATTTTAAACATAATATTTTAAAAAAATTCAATTCAATTAAAATAATACAGTATTTTTTATTTTCAATTTTCAAGAATTTTTGATCAATTATTACAATTTAAAAAATAAAATAGTTCGATACTCATACTTCTTAATAAAATACTTTAGTTTTTAATTAAGAAATCGAGTTTATCCTACTTTGACATAAAGTTATGAGTAAAAGTATTATTTTATACATGTAAAAACACGAAAGAAGATTATAATTCTTAAAAAAAAAAAATAGATCGAATGGGATGGATTCATGAATAGTCCTACTTAATTTTGGTCGAACTCATTTTTTCTTATTCGTTAATCATTACAACAAATTTGTCCATGTAATGATTCGCCGCAAAAATAATGCTATATGACACATGACAATTTATTTTTAATCATAATATTTATAAAAAAGAATTTATTATACATAATTGTGATCTCATACAAATATATTTTAAGTATAATCTTTTTGATATTGAAAGTTACGGTTGAAAGTCTGAATATGTTAGAGCAACTCTAATGGGAGTTGTTTGTCTTATGAAGCAACTCAAGTTCCGATTTCTTGCTATTGAAGAACTTTGACGTGGCAACATGAGTTGCTTGAAGAAGAGAGAGAGTTGCTTCTTCAAGCAACTATTCCTTACCAGATTTCAAGCAGATTTTATTGAATATATTTGGAAACGTTTTGAAAATAATAATAATGAAAATTAATTTCATATAATGTTTATGTATTTATTATTGTTTTATTTTATTTTTAATATCTACTTATTGTTTATTTTTTTTCTTATAATTTATTTTCTTTCATTGTAGTACAATTATCCTTTTTAATAAAAATTTAAATTTGGTTCATAAATGATTAAAAAAAAATTCTAAGATTGAATTTTTTAAAATTTCTTATCATTGAAGTAAATTTGTGTTTGAGTTGCTTAATACTGACATGGCACACTAGAAACTATTTTTTTCATTTTTTAATGCATGAAATAACTCAAATTGCTTCCATCGAAGATGCCCTTAATCAACGGATATAATACAGGCGTCAGTAGCATCAATGTTGGCTAATTTACACATAACATATCATAACGTTTGGAATTCTATTTTCAAAAATAGTAAGAAATGGACAATATAAATAATTAAATACTAAGTAACAGCACGCGCTGCTCTGAAACGGAAGCGCGTAAGAGAGGCGCGAATAAGAAGCACCAAGCTGACAACTCCGTAACAGTCCAGAATAATCCTTCGTACTGGATAAGAACCTCGTATTCCGATCCTCACACCTCACACCTCACACCTCACAATTCATTGTATCTCAACATTCTCAGCCACCCCACAAAACGCTGTGTCGCTCACACCACTCCCCACACATGTCGTTTCCACCTCCGATCTCCGTTTAAAATTCCCGAAAGAAAAAGACACCCCCAAGATCTGGTCTTGGCTTCTCGCTTTTCTTCCCAATCTCATGTATTTCACTCCAATCGCTGCTCTCGTCACTTTTCCCTCTCTTGCCCTCTCTCAGAAGATAGACAAATTCAGGTTCAAACTCAAGTTCTGAGCCTGATTCAGAATCTGGGTGTGTGTGGAATTGATAAATTCAGGTTCAAGGTCAAGTTTTGACTTCAACTCAACTCATTTGGGGGTGTAAACTGTAAAGTGGTTTGGTTTGGTGTGTGTTTACATGGGTGGTAGTTTTTCTTCTTGTGTTTGTGATGGGGATGGCACCCCTTTGAGGCCTAGGCTTGGGGATATACCCGAGAGCTGTGTGGCATTGGTGTTAATGTATTTGGACCCACCAGATATTTGCAAGCTTGCTCGGTTGAACAGGGCGTTTCGTGATGCCTCGTTAGCGGACTTCATTTGGGAATCCAAGTTGCCTTTGAATTATAAGTTCATCATGGAGAAAGCTTTGAAGGATGCTTCTGTGGCAGAATTGGGGAAGAGGGATATTTATGCAAGACTCTGCATGCCCAATTTGTTTGACAATGGCACCAAGGTGAGTTCTTACTTACCTTTGCTACACTTATACATTATTGTTAGAATAAACTTGAAGAAAAATAAGAAGAAAACGCAAAATAACCTCTTTTTTTTTTTTAATGCTAATTATAAGTAATATAGAATAAATTATCGGTAATAAGATAAATAATTAATATGGTTATTTTAATTAATCGGGTCATAAATTTAAGTTTTATTTCAAATATATGTTTATACTACTAAAAGTGATTGTCAGATTTAATGTTAATTTAACCTAACTTAAAAACCTAATGATTGTTACTTAATAGTTAGGACGAAATAAAAATTCAATTTGATGCTTATAATTAAGATAAAAATTATATAATATTGGAGAATATAATAGGATACAATGTTACTAATTTATATATGTTAATTTTAACGTACGAAGAAACCGATAAATTTACCAAAACAGACTCATATAATATTGTTTTCCTATTAGAATTAAAGTTTCATTTCAACAATCTATGTTAATCTTCAATGTAAATCTTTGTTGAGGAAAACTTCAATTATGAAAGAAGAACATTATAGAAAATATTTTATCTATTGTAATTTGAGTTTTATCTTTATTTATACTCCTCTTATACTCTTAAAGTGCTCAATACTCACTTGAAAAGAATGTTACGTTGTTGTAGGAAATTTGGCTAGATAAGAGGACGGGTGGGATGTGTTTGGCGATTTCTTCACAGGCATTAAGGATTACAGGGATAGATGATCGGAGATATTGGAGTCGCATTTCGACCGAAGAGTCAAGGTGAGATTATTGTAAGTAAAACTATGTTAATGTTACTCCTCGAGCTGATGTGTATACTATGGCCTAGGCTTGACTCTGTTTTATTGTGTTTTCATCTTTATGGGTTGAAATGCAACACTTTTTTTTTTGGCTGGATTCTCTTATGCCCTTTTGTGGATTAATGTCATACATTTTTACCTTCTGGCCTTTTATTTATAGAGCTCGAAGATTGAACTATTAATACTTTTCTGAATCCGTTTAACTAATATTCAGGGCTCTCTGATAGACTAATACCACATCTTGTACGTAAGGGAATAAATGAGTTTAGTTAGCAGTGAATTACTGTAAAATTTGTAGTTAAGTTTGAGTCAAACTCAAGATTTGTAGTGAATTACTGTAATAACTTTTGAATAACTCGTATATACATGTATAATAAGTTGGACAGTTTCAATTTGACTTATTATATTTACTTAACAAATTGTAACTCTGTTTATGTTCTTATTATATATACAAATTACTTAATTTAATTTTCAAGAGTCGCATTTCAAATGAATTACTATAATATCTTTTAATATAAAATTGTCAATTTTATCATCGAAGATTTTATCTCCAATCTTAAATCAATTTTATGAATACAAAACTATATTTTATCTTGTAATCACATGGATGTTCTTACTCCACTTTTTCCACTGGCTCTTCAATTTTAAGTTTTAGCCACCATCTACTAGATCACATGAAATCGGTGACTTTAAATTGCATGACCCCCTATTTTATGTGCTACATGATTAAACTTGATGTATTATACCATTTCTTGTCCCTATCAGATTCCATACAGTTGCTTATCTTCAACAAATTTGGTGGCTTGAAGTGGAAGGTGATGTTGATTTTCAATTTCCACCTGGAAAATACAGTGTGTTCTTTAGACTCCAGCTTGGAAGGTCGTCCAAGAGATTGGGTCGTCGAGTTTGTAAGACTGAGGACATTCATGGCTGGGACATAAAACCTGTGAAATTTCAGCTAACAACTTCTGATGGTCAACATGCTGTATCCCAAAGTCATTTGGATAATCTAGGCCATTGGGTTCTCTACCATGCAGGAAACTTTGTTTCTAAGAATCCTAATGATCTAATGAAGATCAAATTCTCATTAACTCAAATTGATTGCACGCATACTAAAGGTGGTTTATGTGTTGATTCTATATTTATATGTAACAGTGATGTAAAAAAAGAGGTGTAGTGTAGGTTGTTTTTGTAGGAAGGAAATCCGTGTATATAGTAGAATTGAGCTGAGGCACCTGAGTTGACTTTTGTCATTTAGGTTAGAGGGGAGTTAAGTAGAAGAAATTCTTCCAAATATGCCCCCAACAACACTTCCCTTTAAGTTTTTGTTTCTTTCATAGTCCCTTTAGATGTTTTGTTTCTTCAACGGGACAACGTTTTAATAGGTTGCACACAATTTTTTTATCCCGTTTGGACATTGTATGTGTGATTTGTGTATATTTCCCCGTTTGTTGGTACTGGGAATTGATCGATGTTGTTTTCTAGAGAATGGAGCATTTCATGTGTTTCAGTTTTACCTAGTATGCCTGGGTGCTTTATCTTTTATGATGGATTCTTGTTTTGTCCATCATACGTAGCATTCGCTTGATTGTTTTGATGATATAGGTAACCTTTGAAATACTATATTATATTGTTGATGTTTCGTTCCTTCTGTCAGGTTAGCCTTCACAAGACTCGGATGTAGTTAATGGTGCCTCTCGTCTAACCTGTCAAAATTTGTATTGGAAAAAATTTAAGTCCCACGTCGATTAGAGATTAGGCAATTAAATAGTATATAAGTGGAAAACAATCCTCACCTTACAAGCCGATTTTGTAGGGTTGAGTTAGGCTTAATCTACTATTCTAAGATTGTATCATAGCTATCTTAGATTCTTAAAAATGGGTCACCCACCATTGATACATGCACCATGAGCATGAGGGGGTGTATTCAAGTCCTGCCAATCCTAAATTATTAAAAAAGGGTCACCTACCATTTATCCACGTATCAAGCTCAATAGTGTTAGACGTGAGGGGATGTATTGGAAAAAATCCAAGTCCTACATAGACTAGAGATTAGGCAATTGAATAGTCTAAAGTAGAAAGTAATCCTCACCTTACAAGTCGATTTTGTAGGGTTGAGTTAAGCTTAATCCACTATTCTAAGAATTTGCTAACCGGCAATTTCATTCATACAAGTATTATGTCAATTCAAATACTTTCTCACAAACATACTAAACATTAACTTAATAATTTGTTCATATCAGAAGGTAATCCAAAGGATATAAATTCTATAAGTGATGATAAAGTAAATTTTTTATATAGGACATTTTACTGATAGAGACTTATTTTAAGAAGCAAGCTGTATAAATAAAGATTCTTACGTGAAGAGAAGGTCTCCATCTTAAGTGAGGGGGTTATGTAAAGGACGACTTTGTTAAGTTTGTCTGGAAAACTTATAGCTAAATAAATATTTGAGATAATGGACTTTATTGAAATGTTCTCTCAGACAAGAGGTGTGAACTACATTAGTTTACGATCTTTCATTACTTTTATTTATGGTGATATTTTGTGTCCATATTTTTTATTCTCAATTTTGTGCATAGAAGGGTTGTTTTGCGACATGTATTACTAAAATACTAGTTATCGAAATCTTTATATTAAAATTAAACATAGTAACAATTACCTTTTTCTATATAAAAATGTCTTAATTCTTGTTACAATTACAAATCCATTAAATTTTTTTTTATAAGACTGCTTCCATCTTATCATTGTTTTTACAATCCACTTTTGTTTTGTATTAATTTTAAGTGTCTTAATCATAATGTTACGATAGAGTTAGGGATATCAAAAGATGTCCTTAAACCTAAATGATTAAAAGACTATTCTAGATGTGATTGAATATTTAAATTATATATTGTATTATATTATATTTTTATTTTATTTTATTTATTTTATAATAATAGGATATTAACATATGAACAATTATTAATCATTATTTAATGATGAGTATGTCTCAATAAACTTAAACATGTTTCATTAATCATTAAAAGATACATAAGAACTCATTTTTAAAAAATGAGAAAAAGTGATGGTACTCTTTAAAGAGTATTTTAGTTTAGAAAATAAATACCATCTTAAAGGTCTTATCGCTAGAATGTTCTATTTTTTTGAATTGCCTTTCAACTTGCAAGAAATCTTTATTATGTAAATTTTTATTTGTTTATTACAAATCATAATCTTAATTTTCTTCCTCTTGGAACAATTCTTAATGAATAAATTTCTTACAATGAGAGAAGACACATGATGAGATGTTGCTTAAACCAATTAAATCAACTTGAAAGACAAAAGGTGTTAGCATAATTTTGATGATGGCAAATATCAGTAAGGACTTTTAATTATCTTTATGACAATAAATGATGGTGGTCCATATTTTTACAGCTATTAATGCTAATGATAAAATTAAAAACAAACATTACACGATGACTTAAGTTATTGAAAAGTAAGAAGAAAATATGGTTCAAATCATTATAGATAATGCTCTTCTATGTAAAGGTGTTAGAATGGTTGTTGAAAGTTTGTTTCTTTAATTTTTTTTGGACTTCTTGTGTCATTCACACGTAAAATCTTGTATTGAAGAATGTATGTGCTACTAAGAACACTAAAAAAATGGGTAACTTGTGATGAGTGTAGTTGGAATACATTATTGATGATGATTCTTTTGTTAGGAACTTTATCATGATTTATGAAACACTTAATCAAATTAACAATTTTTAATCACTTTTCACCTTTAAAATTGTTTTCTATTGTTGAAACACCTTACATTTGATATAGTGATGATTTAAACAAGTGAAAGATTCTTTGCAATCAACGGTTACTAGTGGAAAGTTAAATTTTTACATAGAAGATGACAAAGACAAGATCCAACTGTAAAAGATTTTATTTTGAATGATATATAATGACACAAATATATTCTTAATTTTATTTTGTCTATATATAATAAGTTCACCGTTTATGATATAATCAATCATACATCTCATTTGATTCATGACATGTGAAATCTTGTGATATATACACATATGTTCTTAATTTTATCATGTTCCTATGTTTTTTATTTAAAAAATAAAATAAAATAAAAATAATCAAAGCTAAGTAATAATGGATAATCAATAAGTGGTAGTCTGAGACTTTGAGTGATTATAAATAGTTAACTTATGTGAGTTGTGTGAATAAAAATAATTTTTAATAATAAAATCTTTTTGTATAATAAAAGGAAAACGGTACTAAAAAAAGAGTGGACAAGAAATATACATAATTATCACTTTTATTTTATTATTTAAAGATTTAAGGATAAAATATTTTTAAAAAAAGATAGAGATGAAAAATGATTGCAAACAAAATCATTTCATTCATATATTAATATAAAATTAATTATAATTTTTAAAAATTGAATCGGACTAATTGATTTGACTAGTTTAACTTGGAATAAATTTGAAGTTTGATCCGATTACTCAAAGATGTATTTTAGAATTGATATATACCATTCAAATTCTGATTAAACTGATTCAAAATTGGTAAAAATTGATCCAAAACCATTATAGAAAACTAATATGTCCATTTTTTCAAAAAATTATTTAAAATATTTTATGATGAATATAAAATGATATTTAATAAAAATTACAGATTAACATAAATTAGTTTATCAATTATTTTCAATAATTTTCTTACAAAAGTATAATTTTTTTATTTATCTTAATTTATAATTTTTTTTATCTTGATATTTTAAAATTTTATATTATATTAATTTCACCTTTTTTTCGCTTTAAACGTAAATATGTTATTATTAATATGCATTTTAATATTTTGCTAAAATATAAATTTATACATTTTATCTAGACTTTTACATATAATTTAAATGTTAAAAATTTATAAAATGATATTTTATTTTATTTTATATGTAATTATTACTTTATTAACATTGATAAGAATTTAACTGTCAATCCTTACATGAATAATTATTTTACACGAAAATATTTTTAGAGATTATTATTCAAATTTTTTTTAGAAATTTTCTCAAGTTCTTATTTAATTTAATTTTATATTTATTTATGAATTAAATTTTAATAATTTTAAAATAAATTATTAATAAGTAAAATAATTTTACACTACAATATAAATTATTTATCTTAAATATAAAATAATATATATATATATATATTAAAAATTATATTTATATGCATTTTAAATATAATATATATAAATCTTAAATATATCAAATATAATATTTATTTCCTTATATAATTTATTATAAATTTTAATTATATAAAATAAATATTTATTCTACAAAATATAGAAACTAAAATATTAATATTTGTTGAAATATTGTCTGAATCGATTTAATAAAAACATGGAGATTAATTTATACATGTACCGCGAGTTGCACCGCTTCTCCTCCGCATGACTCACTTTTTGAAAATTATATTCCTCCCTGGTGCCCTGCCTCTCCATTCACTCACTCTGGGAGTGTTGGGTTTCCTCCCTTACTTACTCCGCACCGTTCTTCGATTCCCTTCCCTCTCTTTCTTGAAAGTTTCTCATTGTTGGTTCTTAGTTCACACATTTCCCCTCGTTTTTTCTATTTCTCTATTTTTGCTCATTTATTTTCTTCATATGCATTGTTCGTTACTTGAGAGATGCTATTTTCTTCAATCCTTCATTCATTTCGATGGCGCTAGGGTTTCATCTGCTCGCTCCAAACTCCAAATGGGAACATGAATCTCTCCTTAGTGCCATCTTTGGGTTTTCGCCTCGTTCATCTGTCGTGCTGCACCTCTCGCTTTGAATTTCATTGGAACCCGAGGTACGATTTTCCTTTCGTTGTACAGGGATTTTCACTCCGTTTTCCGATTATTATTGATTTTTTTCATTCAGGAATCTGCATGTTCTGTTTCACTGCACTGATATTAAACTCGTCCAATTGAAGTTCGCTTTAGATGCCATTCTAGGATGTAAGGTATAATATTGTGGATATATATTAGTTATCATCTATAACAATAGACGATTTTTTTTTTAATCTATAAAAATTACAATGATGAGACAAGATTGGAACTTATGAACTTGCCTATATTACTTCAACCTCTCACCTTGATGGTTCATAACATTAGGTGATTTTAATTGTTGGCGATCTTTTCTATTCGATGTGATATCAATGCGTGTCAACATTCGAAGCCTTAAGGGAAAAACCATAGTAAGAATTTGTGACGTTGAAGGTCGATTTCATTAGGGAAATAGCTATAATTACCCTAACATATAGGATATGTCACTTTTACTACACACAATTATGCCTCAACCCAGAAGACAATTTTGTCATCTCTGTTGTTTCTGGCCTCCCCTGAAGCTCAATGTACTATATTAATTTCCACTTGACCAAGCAATCATAGAAAAAAAAATTTCTTCTGCTTTTTCCCCCCTCAGTTGCTCCTCTGAGTCTCCCACAACATGTGGATAACATTGAAAACACAGATCAGCTTGCAGCTGCCAGCTT